AACAAGCAGCGGCTCAGTGTTTACCTGCTCGCTTCCAACAGGACTGACACCACCACAGCAGCCTCCAGGTGTCATAGGAACAGGCTTAAATTTAGCAGCAGCTGCCTTCCCTCTCTCCCTGGCTCTGCTTTCTCCCTTCCTCTCCACTCCCCTTGCTCTGGGAGCACGTTTACACCAGAAAGTCTGACCAACACTAATGGCATAATTATAACCCTGCAGTTAAACAAACATCAAGGCTGTGGGACAAAGGAGGGTGTGCTTTGCACTGCCCTCGAGTTGAGGGAGTTCACACATCAGTGAGATGAAGCAGCGACCAACCTGATGTTAAAAGAGAGGGAAGATGCACAAACACCACGGAGCAGCAAAGGCTGCCTGGTACAAACCCCATGTCCCAGCTCCTGAGGGACTTGAGGAAGCAACAGTTTAACCTTCTCTCAAACAAGACAACCAGAGAAATGATGCTCTGGGGCCAGAAGCCCCCCGAGGCTGATGCATCCTTCCACCCCAGCATCCATCCAGCCCATTCCACAGTGCCCAGGGAAGTCACAGGGGATGGATGGGGACACCTGACACCTGAGCACTGCCTGAACACGTGGTTCAGCAGGGACAGGCAGGACCTCCCTGCCACAGCCACTGAGCCCAGCACTGAACCCTCACACCTGTAGGCCAGGCAGAGGGTCAACCACGAGCATCCTGCAACCCAACAATCCCCCAGTAAATCACGAGACAGAAAACCATCAAAAGAGCTCTGGCAACCTGCCTTTGGGGTGGGGACGTATGATCTACAAAACTTTCCCTTCTTTTATGGTTGCTTCTCACTGTAATCATAAAAAAGGCCTTATAAAAACATTAGTCCTAGGGAATGTCTGGTGATGCAGCTTCAAAATTGTTCAGTGTCTAAATACATCAGCAATCCATCTCTGCAAGTCGTCACTGCAATCAAACACAGCTCCTCTTTCTCTTGACTATAAATGGTCTCTGCTGAGGACAGGGTGGGGGACAGGCTTGGAGAGTTCCCTCGAGCTGGTGCACTCCCTGGGAAGGGGAGAGTCCAGAGGAACTGGACCATTTCTAGAGCACAGATCCCCAAGGAGGGGGGAGGAGTGGGTTTGATCCTCACCTCTGTCCATGGTTTTTGCTCCAGCTGTTGGACCTTGACCCACTAAAGTGCAGCTCTGGCACATGCACAGCCCCAAGACCCCAAAGACTTTAGTTCAGTGCTGACCTTAAACACCAGGCCGAGAATTGAGGCAGGTCCCCAGCCCCTCCCTGGGCAGTCTTTTATGGAACACACAGTCCCTTTCTTCTGTGGATCCTCTCCTTCTTCCATAGCAGTTGCTCTCTCAGAGAGGAGGGTGAGGGACACAATCTCTGATATTTTTGAAGTGTTAGAAAACTCCCATCCTTCTAGTAACCTTCTAGTTACCTTCTAATAACCCCCTAAAACACATCTCTTACCAAGCAGGAGCATTATGACCTTCTCCACAGCGGAGCAGGGGGGTTAAATTCATGAGTGAGCCTTTGATGTCTGCAAGCTTCGTGTAGTACAAAACCTCTGCTTTGATATTCATTTTAAAAGAGGAAACTCAGAAGGTGTGCACTGCACGAGTCCCAGGGAGGGATTCAGAGGGACTTGGATCTGTCTGTCCACAACTGCAGGCAGAGGGACCGAGCTCTAAGGCAGCTCCTTCTGCTCAGGGCTCTGCTGCAACAGAGCAAAAATGTGACCAAACATGTCTCACCCTCACCAGCTTCTCCCAGACCAAACCCACCATTGTGGAGAACCAGGCACTCACAGCCCTGAGTATTCCCGTGGGAGCTCCACACCTGACCACAGGGCCCTGCCCGTGCCCGTCCCCAGACCCAGGCAGTGCTGGTCCTTCCCAGTGGGGAAATCCCCCCCCTTCATGGGGCCATGGGAGGGGTAGGGAAGCCCCTCTCTGCCCCACCAGCCGCAGGACCCTCCTGTGTGAGCACCACGTGCAGCACCAGCACAGCAGTGGCAGAAGGTCTGGGGCACAGGGAGGGACCTGCCACGCTCTCCTACCTTACGCAGCACCTGGGCCATGGCTTCTCCTATCCATCCCAGCATCCCCACGGCTCTGCCAGCAGGCTGAGCCCCTCTCTCAGGGCCCGACAGAGCTGCCAGGAGGGACAAGCTCCTCTCCATCCCTCGGCTCACTTCGCCTCCCTGCACTTTTCCCTGCCTGCCCTCCCCTGTCCCGCCCCCTCCCACGGGGAGTTTCCCAGCAGCTCAGTAATTAGCAGCATCATCACCAATGCTAATAACAACCACCACAGCTCCTGCCATCCAAAGCTCAAACAACTTGGCAGCCACCATCACGCCCCTGTAGCCTCCCCGGGGCTGGCAGGGAGGCAGCACACGGAGCTGTTCCCCCAGCACAGGGAGGGGGAAGGGGAGGGAAACACGAGGCAGCAGATGGGTGGCAAATCCAGGATCTCTGACTCAGGCACTGCTCTCCCAGGAACTCCCCATCCCGGGACCTGCCTGCTGCACAAGCCCCTTGGGAAGGAGGTCAGTGGCTGTGCTGACAGCAGGACTTATCCAGAAATTGTGTCACTCCACCTGGGAGTCTTGGGATGAGGTTTTTTTCCTGGGAATCCCTGTACACAGCCTGGGTTCCCCTCTGCAGATGGACTGTGGGAGAGCAGCACACAGGACCACATGTGCAGCCTGAGCTGGTGGGACAGCAGGGATTGTGGCACCCCATAAAAGCACCTTAGATCAACCATCAGAGCTCACCTCGAATTAAGGACTTGCTCTTTACTGATGGATTAAAGAGAATTTTTGCTCTGAGCATTCACAAAGTGAGGAATCGGGGGGGATTCTTGTCTGAACTCCCCGACCTGGAAAAACTTCTCTCCCATTTGGGAGGGGTCTGCTATGTCTGATTTATTAAAAGTTCCCACGGATGGGAACTGCAGCTTTTCAAAAAAACCCACCCAGAACCAGCACCCCTCCACAGAGGGGACAACAGCAGGACACAAGGCAATGGGTTGCTTTGCTTTTGGCAAGACAACACTGACTTTAAACATGACAGAGCCAGGCTAGGAACACCCCACATAACAAAATTCCCCTGCAGTGACCCCGCTGTCTCCCCCAGAAGGTCCCACAGAGACGCCCTGTCACTGCCACTCACCAAACCCCACAGGCACTGCCAAGAGGTCATCAGTGGTTGGCAAGGTCCCACAGGGCCACTTTTAGACACAACCTAAGGATCCACAGCTACACTCCTAAGGAAAGTTTTTTCCTGGCTCTTGATGGAGCGTGGCTTTTGTTTGGTCTCTGGCTGAATGTCTGAGTTAAAAATACAAGGCTATTTCTGGCAGAAGTGGGGTTTTTTTTCTGCCTTTGTATTGCCTTGTGTGCCCCCATGCTGCTGTCTCCTTTCTGGCTCAGATGAGCTTTGTTTTCCTTCTCAATGATCATGTTTGCACCGGTGAGCAGTAGGAAATGCTTTTCCTATCAGACCATTTCCACGAGCACTGTTGGGAATGAAGAATGAGCTCACGGAAGTCTAAAAAAAAACCCCAGTTAGTGTAAAGATCCTGTCTCCAGTGGCCAAAAAACTGAAAATCAGGAATGTCTGTGGTAAAAAGGGATGTGTACACACACCCATGCACACAGGTAGAGCAGGATATGTTCTCCCCACGATCCACAGACCAGGAACAAAGGACTCAGAGCTAGAAACACTTTCAAGCATCCCCACTCCACAGCCAGGCTTCATCCCAAGCTCTGCAGCTCAGACCCAGCATGAAAATATTTAATTTCACTTTTCTTAAATGCCAAGAAAAAAATAGGTCTATCTTTCCTGGTTTGGATTTATTCCATCTGGAATGACTGCATAATCAGGGCTGTGATAGTGTGTTACAGACTCAGTATAAAGCAGAAGCTTAAATACTTCCAAGCATCATGAGATCATTGATCTTCCCTGTTACTCTCCGTATCTCCTGGCAACAAGCTGAGGACTTGGGGCTCCTCACTTGAGATCACAGAGTTCAGATATCTCCAAGCCCCCTCCCACGACTCAGAAGCATGTCATGGTTGTGGGTGTGATCTCTGTCTCCAGGACCCAGAACAAAACCAACACAGCTGCAGGAAACCTCCCCAGTATTTGTGTTTGTTCTGTGTCACAACAAACATCAACACAACCGGAAGGTAGCGGCCCACAAACAGCTCAGCTGTCAGGCTGAAGACATCAAAAAGGCACCTGGAGAGCTTTTCAGGACATGGATCCCCATCCTCATCTGGGGAGACAAGCACAGATTGAATCAGAGCTCCCCAACAGGTCAGTGACCTGCAAATCCCTGACACTGGGGCAGCTCCTGCCCCTGAGGAAATGTGCTCTTCCTACACTGCTTCCAAAGAGAAGCTCCTGGACAATGATTTCTATAATCTCTGCCTAATGACTGATCAGTTCTAACAGACCACTCTGCACACTGACCATTGGTGTGAGCAGGAGATGAGGGGGAACAACACATACGGTCCCACATTTGGCAAAGGCAACCGGCACTTTTGGCTGCTCATCAAAGACCTGAGAAGGGCTCTGTGTCCTGAAGGCAACAAGCCCACTCCTCATGAGCCCCAGGAGGCTGATAAACCAAGCTCAACAAAACAAGGGGTCCAAACTGTTTTCCTGGAATTCGAGGCATCACATCCTGACAGTCCCAGGAAAGCTCAAAGTCCAAACTCCTGTCCCTCAAGAGAAAGTTCCAAATATCACAACTGAACACCAGTCACTCGTAAACCAGTTTGTGATGGAGGTTGGTGCCACTGCTCTGTTAAATGGTCAGTAATTCTGAGGCTCAAAGAGGCAAAATGATTTGCCCAAGTTTCCCAAATTGCCAACAGCAGAGCTACACACGGGCTCTGTTTTCCAGCCAAAAGGCCACCCCTGCACCATGTTAGAAATGAAGAACATTCTCTCTAAGAAACTCCCAAATAAATAATAAAAAATGTATCAAAATCATCTTCCTACCGACTGTGACACCTGGACTCGGACTTCACCAGCATCCAAGGGTGATGCACTCGGTCCCTGGGACTTCCTCTCCAAACTGGATTGGTGTTCCCGGTATTTCCTCGTCCTCGCAGGTAACGAGAGGAACTCTTTTCCCGAGATCTTCAGGTCTCCCACATGGTGGTTGTCCCCATTCTGGTCCTTGGGAAAGCAAGAAACAGCCATTGCACCACTTGTCTGTCTCAGGTTTACATGGAGATCTGCTGGCACGTATCCAGTAGAACAGGAGACACGGGAGCACGAAGCGACTGCGGAGTTTGGAGGGTGGGAGTGCCACTCACCACCTGCAGGGCTGAACCAGGACACTTGGTCTGTCCCTGCAGTGCATGATTTTAATGAGTGGAGAGGAAGCATCACCCAAACAACACACAGGAGTCAACTCCTCCACAGGGAGAGGCAGCATCCTCTTAAAACCCCCAGGTATGCAGGTGGGAGCAGGGCTGGTTTATTTATGGGCACAGGGAATGATGGATGACAGGTGCAGAAACAGAAGAGTGACTCCTGCCAACTGCACTCCTAAAAACCTCCTTTAAACAGAGTGGCAAGCTCATCCTGCCCAGGATACCAAACTCTTGGCACAAGTCCCTCCACTGGCTGTATCTCCATTCATTCCCAGTGCCCAGCCCTGCAGCAGCCCATGCTGAGCCATGGATAACCCGACCAGGCCCCAGGGAAGGATGTTCCACAGCATTTTCCACCTCTAGGATTTGGCTCCCAGCACAGACAGAGCATTGCCTGCCTCAGTCTCCCACTGTCTACAGCAAGAAAGAAACCACTGGGTAAGGGCCCTAAAAGGCAGATGAACACAGATGGTTGGGGTCTCATCCAGCGCTTTGCCAACCCTCACACCACCAGAAGGATGAGGGGACAGCAGGGTAATGTAAGTACAGCAGAAGGGCCATGAGCAGTCTCACTCCTGCCCTCTCTGCTCCCTTAAATGCTTGTGCTCAGTGCTCCCACAGACATAAATACAGGATTATCACCCCCAGGTAATGTGTGGGGAAATGGAGGTGGCAGAGACTCCAGACAGGAATAGTGAGAACAAGTAAGGAGAAATTCATTTCCCTGGATGCTATTAATGGGACCAGTGCAGCCAGGCCGGTGTCCACAGCTTGAAAAGCAGCCACAAGAATATATTTCAGAACTAGAAACTGCCTCACAATGCTTTAGTTGGAGCCCTCAGACTGCTTGGTGCATGACAGCCAGAAGAGATGACTCAATTATGGCATGTAAGCACCTTCAGGGTGAAACCCAGCAGGTGATAAAGAGATTTTAGTCTGGTACAGAGAGGAATAAACAAGAACCAAAGGCTGGGAGCTACTAAAGCCAGAGAAGCTCAAACCAAGAAAAAGGGCACAGGATGGAAAAAACAGGATGAGCAGAAAGGAGGATTCCTGCAATCTGCTGGGGCCCTCAGAACCAACGTGGGTATTCCCTGGCAGACACACACTACCCTAACACATGACTCTGTGCAGACGCACTGGACAGGAGCTCCTGACTTGCTGACTTTGAAGGCTGCCTCTGGCAGAGCTGGTGGGCAGAAGGTGAGACAATACTGAGGGGATGCTGCAGAGATCACAGTTCACTGGTTTGTACCTTACAATCTTATCACTCCCACCACAGCGAGCTCAAAGCAAACAAGCCTCTCCCATGGCTGTAATCCCCTTTCCCCATGAGCACAGCAGTAGAGAGGAAGGGGAACTGCATCCAAAACACTGTCTCAAGTAAAGGTGAACTCACACACACCCCACAGGACCACTGCAGGGGGAACAGGAGTACTCACGCCTGACTCCACAGCTCCTGCTTACTCCATCCTCCCCATGAAACCCCTGATATCCATAACCCTGCCTGAGCTATTGAATGACGTTCAGCTTTCACAGCAAAGAGCAGGAAACCAACAGCATTAACAGCCTCAGCAGCAAGTCACACACCAGCAAAGCCCCCCAGGCAGCCCTCTGGGCTGTGCTGCTCCGATGAGGACACACGATCCAATGTCCCCTGACATCGGACATCGCTGTCCCTGCCATCGACACCCCAGGGATGGAGTCACACTGGTGAGAGCAGGGGCCAAAATGGCCAAGGGGCAGCTGAGAGAATTGATAAAACATCAGAGCACATGGAATTTATTTCCCAAAGACAGTCAATTCAGGGAGGAGCTTTTGTCTGGCGTTCCCAGCGCTTACGGGGATGTTCAGGCTCCCAAATGGTTTCTCAAGCCTGAGGTTGTTTCCCATTGACCATTTACATCCACCTGCAGCTTGGATGAACTTTTCCTCTCTGTGACAGTTCTGTAAAGGGGAAATTCTCTCTGGGACGCTCAGGAGAGCTGTGCCTGGAAAGCACTGGATGAATGTAAATTATTTGTGCCAAAGACATTCCAAAAAGGCAGAGCGTGGCTGCCTGCCTGGCCACCTCCTCTGGGAACAGGCATGACTGAGCCCCACAGCTGGGCAGACAGAGCATCCTGAGCAGGATTTTCTGAGAGACTTAAATGATCCCTGTAGCTGGAAAGGCTCAGTGCCTCCCAGCTGGCTGCAGAAACAGCTCTTGCCCTGGGGACACGGAGAAAACGCTGATCTGCTTGGATCTGACATTCCCAGTAGCGAAGTGGAGCAGAGGCAATCCTTGGAGCCCCTGGAACAGAACCCTCCTGCAACGCTCCAGCTCCTGCATCTGCCCTCTCTGTCACTCCACTGGGGTGACAAGGCACCAGGATCTGCCACCAGCCCCCGCAGGGGCTAAACTGCTCACGATTATCCTTCCAATAAAGGGCTGCTTTTTGAAAAAAAGCACAGAAGTGGCTTTTCAGCTTTGAGTGTTAAGTGCCTTTTTAGTTAGACCAGCTGTTCCTCTCCTCCAAGCTCTCTAGAAACCCTCTTTGGTTAATCCCATTGACTCCAGTGATATCTGCTAATTGCATATTTCCCTGCAAATGAAGCCAGTCAACAAACCAGTCGGAATCTGTGTACAGATTCCTACTGACACTTAATCTTTGAGGCCAGACATCTTTGCTTACCTTTTCAGAAGGGAACTTGAGGAGGTCTAAGCTGTCCATGCTGTTCCTCTGGAGTCTCTTTGGCCTGGCTCCTGCAAAACAATGCACTCTCACATCAGGGGGGTGTCACTCACCCACGGCACCAACGTCACACAGAGAAAACTCAAACCATGGCAGATCCTCTGCTCTGGTTCACTGCAAAGTCAAAGGGATGGGATGTTGCAGCTGTGCTGGCCTTGAGATTCAAGTATGGGGGGGGTTCTTTATTGTTTTGGGTCTTTTTTCAAAACACTATCCCAGCACAGTCAGCACAAGCTCGGGCTGTGTGAGGCCTTCACCACTGAACCAGTACCCAGATCACACCACGACCCTGATCTCAAATGGAGTCTCTGGAATTCAGGAGTTACAAACCCTGCTCTAAACCACAAAAGTCATGGGACTGGCATTGAGAAAAATCATAACAAAAATACAGTTTAATAATACATCCGTGGATTTGCTGCTTTATCTTCATGTTTTTAACTCAAAGAATGTTTCTGGGACTCAACTTTGAGCTTTTCTCTACAGACGCAACAGCTGGAAAATTAAGTGAAGGAGCAAATATTTTCTAACTATCATAGGCCCAACCTTAAGGGGAGCAAAACCTTGCCTTGAACCTGACAGAGAAATCAAAATTTGGCAGCATTCATATTTATTTGAGATTTCATGAAATTCATTTTAACATAGTATTCCAACAACAACAGAGTGGGTGAAACACAGTTCAGCTCTGACTCCTGATTTCCAGACCTCTTTGCCTCCACAGACTCCCTCCAATCTGCTTCCAGTTGCCCTTTCTTTACAAAATGGCCCTGGGATGCCTCCACCACACCTGGGAAAGCTCCTGCCTTTCCACTCTCCTGCTCCCCTTCCCTGATCTTTTCCGAAGGCTCAGTTTAGCTGATTCCCACGTGACATCCCACACCAGCAACACCATGCAGGGCAGAAGCCAAAGCTCTCTGTTCAAGGTCCCATGACAACTTCCAGGCTTCAGGGGAAATCCTGGGGGAGAGGGAGTGAATGCATGTGAGTGGAAACCCACCCCCATGCTGAGCCCTGAGAACGGAAACCACGGAGCTTTGTGTGGTTCCTGCAACAGCAAACTCACCAAACCCAACCATTCCCCAGCTTCCCACCACCACCAAGAGCACCACTGCCTGTCAGAGCAGCCCCCACAGACCCTGTTTGAGCCCAGGGTGCCATGGAGCTGCTCCATGGACAAACTTAACAGAGAAGAGGCACGAAATTCATAAATCAAGACTGACTGTGAGCAGGACGTGGGGATTAAATGGCAAAAGCCCCCAGGCAGCAGGGATTCCTGCAGGAACACACATCCAGCTGAGCCAGGGCTCCAGATGCCACCACAGCTGTATCTAAACTGCACCAACTCCAAGGACACCACTGCTTTTGAAAGTTCATGAGCTTCATGAGATATGAAACAAGCTCAGACCAGGTGGGACTTCACCAAGGGTCGTGCAGACACATCACAGCTTGGCTATAAGTGACCTGAAGTTAATGTCTCTGTCCCTCACCACCCTGATTTCTTCTCGCAGCCACGAAGACTCAAAATCAGCAAAATATTTCTGTGTGTTTCTGCCTCTCTGCTCCAAAAAGCACATCAGCACCAGCTTCTTTCTGAGGTGACTCATTGCCAGGCTTTGAGTTCAGGGGGACTGACATCAGGGCTGGCAAGGAGGTGCAGAACAGATATTGATGTGAATACACAGGAGAGCGAGGAACACACGGAATGATGAGCAGTGACATTTCTATCAAACTTTACCCTCCTCCCCAGTACAAAGCCAATTGCTCAACTGGCAGCAGCTCAGAACGTTTAGGTTGGAAAAACCCTCTAAGATCAAGTTCAACCTGTGCCTGATCCCCACCTTGTCTCCCAGCCCAGAGCACTAAGTGCCACGTCCAGTTGTTCCTTGGACACCTCCAAGGATGGGGACTCCACCACCTGCCTGGGCAGCCCCTTCCAACACCTGAGCACCCTTTCCATGAAGAAAGCTCCCTGTGAGGCAGCAGGGCAGCTGCCAAACGTGTGAAGGGCTTCTGGCTGCTGCCACGCTGGTCAGGCAGGAGCTCAGCGAGGGGAAGGCAGAGATGGGTTGTTCCCAGTGGCTCCCAGTTACACACCACGACATTCTGGACACTGCTGTTGCTGCTCATGGCTCTCAAAACAACCCACAGCCTCACCTGTGGAGCAGCAAGGTGGGTCTGGAGTGAAAGTCACCCCCAAACACCTGATCAGAGGCACGTTTGGGTCTCAGAGCGATGCCCAGGAGGCCAGACCAGCCCCCTGGGAGCGAACGTGCGTCACAGCTTTTAACAGCCACTTCCAGGAAAGCAAGAAAGCAGCAAAGTGTGTCCCATTAGATAAACACACATCATTTCCAGCTGTCTAAAGAGTCATTAATTACACACCTCCGTCCTCAGGTGCTTTTGTGCCTTTCCAACAGCTCTGAACTGCTGGCCAGCAGCCATTAATCTCCGAGCTGAGACCTGCCCTCCCCGTTGCTAATTTAATAGAGTCAGCTGAGACTCCCCCAGCAGAACAACTTGTCTTTTTCACTTGTTTGGATGCTGGTGTCTCTCTTCTACCCTGTGGGGTTTACACACAGTTGAGCCAAGAGAAGAAGAAGTCTGGAGTTACAAACAACTCCAGAGCCACCCAACTTGGTTGTTTCTTCCAGGAGAAAACGCAACCAGTGCCGGGGTTGAACGTCACCCCCCTCACCATGAGCTGAGGAGTAGCATTAAAACAAGCAGCAGGAGGGAATAAGAGGGTACCTGTCCCTCAGGGCCACCAGAAATTGGATCAACACAGGTAGTTTCTCCCCTTTACTCCACACAGGAGAGCAGAGAGGTTTCCATACTCACAAGCGCCCCGCGACAGGAGTCCCATTAACTTTCTGTCTCCAACCAGGACATTCCCTCAGATGGCTCCAGGAGTAACTTCCAGCCTCCTCCAAGCTGTTTTTCCCAGCAATACCTGCAGCACCACTCAATATTCAGCAGAAGCTGAACTCTGCCTTTTTCTCCCCAGTGCCGATCACCAGCAGCCGTGGATGCGAAGGACTGAGCAGCTGAAAACTCGTGTCTGTTCCTCTGGAAGGTTTTTTCCTGTCTCTCCAGCATTTATTGGCATGTTTACCAAGGCTGCTGCAGAGTAACGGAAAACCTCAGGGGCATTTCTAAATGCTCTCTCTGTCTCGAAGGTTTGCTGAGGTCTCTAACAGAGCAAGCTGAAACCTTCTTGTGAACATCAGCTGAGCAACACTCCTGACTGGCTGCATTCATGCCCTGTTTTCCTGCAGCTCCTTGGATGTTGTTCCTTTCACCGCTCAGGGGTGTTGTTCCTTTTTTAAATATTTTTTTTCAAAATCTCTTCCTCCCCCACCCATGATCTCAGCATCACCAGGAACCAAGGGGATTTTTTTTTTTTAACTTTCTGCTTTTGCAGTTTGGTTCCTGAGGTGAGTTTAACGGTTTTCACGTTCTTGTATTTAAAAACCTGATGAAGGAGCCACCTCCCTCCTTCAAAGGGAGCAACAGACTCCAGGGAGGGGGAAGTTCACTGCAACAGAGCAGAGGGTGATGCTCGTGTGCTTACCTGTGTGCAGGAGACATCCTGGCTTCCCTCACATCCTCCCATCTCACAAATGCTATCTGTTCTCCTATCTTTGGGACACTAAGCCAACATATCCAGGCCAGATATCAACCTAGACCCATCTTTCTTCCCCACCTGCAGAGATGGGGATGGCCCCTCTGCACATCCTTGTGCTAACTGTGATGACCTGGATACAGGAACCTCTACCTGCAGTCAGGGGTTTGGGACTGAACCCTCCCTGATCTCCTTGGGCTTCCTAAGCTCCTCAGTGTAGAGCTACATGGACCCTGTGTGCCTGAGGGAGAGGCTAAACCAGAACACTGCCATGGTGCACACAGCAGGCACAGCACCTTCCACCCATTTTTCTCCTATCCTTGGAATCTGTCACCAGCTCCACACTGTCTGGGAGGGCAGGATCACTATGGTCTCCAGAAGGAAGAGCTCTATTCCTGTACCAGGACAGGCAAGTCCTCGGTTTTCAGGGTGCAATTAGAGAAGAAATCACAATATCAATATCCTGAGCTGGAGGAGTCCACAGGGATCAAAGTCCAACTCCTGGATGCTCACATGGCAAAAATTCTCCAGCAGTACCTCACTACAAAGTGAGATGCAGCCACAGAAAACACAAGGAAGTTTTATCAGAGGTCGGTGATGGGATCATCCCGTGGGAATGGGCGCTAGGACAAAGCTGGGCACACAGTGCAGGCAGAGTTTTGCTCCTCCACGGACAATCTCCATATCCAACGGGCGCTCCCGAGATTTCAGCTGACAAGATCGAGCAGAACATGTGTAGCAGCGACTCAGGGAGCCCTGCCAGGAGCTCTCATCAAGTTGACATGTGCTTTGATAACTCCAAGGCTCTCCCCCATCTCCAGCAGCTCCGAGAGCTGCCTACTCCCTCCTGGATGGAGGGGAAGCGAGGCCCCCCCGCCGCGGATCGAGCGACAGTTCTATTTGCAGGCCAGGAACACGCTGTACCCCTCGGGGTGGCTGCACCACAGGAAGCACAATTAAACCTGACAGAGGACCCCACAGAAGACCAACAGGGAAAGGTTGTACAGCCAAATCAGCCCCCCACTGCCTCCCGTGCTCCCGGGTGAGCTGCACACACAGCTCAGTGGTTACCCCACAGAGCACAGGCTTTGCACCCCCCAAAGACCACAAATCTGGCATAAGCTCCTGCTGTATTTTCATGAAAAGGTCATTTCTCTCTGTATTAACCAAGATACTGACTTGTCTTTGGGGTGAGTTCTTCCAGCCCTGGACGGTGCCTCCCCCGGTTTGTACAGATCCAAACCTTGATTCTGGCAGACAACTCTAAATATTGTTCAATATAACCAAATCAGACCAGCTAGCCGGTTGTTTGGGGTGGAATACTGGTCTGGAAACCCTCCCAAGCTCAGGAGTGACAGTGGAGATACGGTCCAGCGATCCCAGCGCTCGCGG